ACAAATTCTTCTGTTAATATTCATGAGAACATGGATAGAAATAATAGGAATTAAATTTACCAAATCTTTGGGGTACTCTAGTGTTTTGGATAAAGTCTTTCCTTTTTATAAAAATATAAAACATTAAGGAACTCTTTCTTTGGAAGAAAACAGACTGTTTTGTTTTTACTTTATTGTTTAGCTCCAACTTAGGCCTAAATTTAACAATGAAAATAGAATTTTCCTGGAGCATATGGAATTTTCTGTCTTTTCTAAACAGGGAATTGTAGGAACATTTAAAGAGAAAACATTCTCTTCACAATACCAGTCAATAAACCTCTCTGGAAACATTATTTAGCGCCCATTAGAAAAAGAGAACAGTAATAATAGGATATGTGGGAAATTTCAGAGGCAAAGATATAATTGGTACTTTTAAAGTTCTTATAGTTTAATAGAGGAGACTAATCAATCCCTAATAAGTACACTGCAGTATATTTACTTTTAGAGGGATTTAGCATGAAGTATTTCTTTTTGAACATTATTCATTGCAGTAGACAGAAGAAATGGGAGGGCCAGAAACAATAACATAGCTAAGGTCACAGAGGACCTTAACCTAAATCTCCTAATTCCATATATAAGACAGTCTTGTGATATTAATCTTGAGCATAACATCTTTTTGAGATTCCAGAAGATCTATGATATTCATTTAATCCGCAATTTTAAAAAATCAGCTAATAAGACTGACTAGAACTAAGACAGCAATGCTCTAGCATTTCACCTTACTTCTCCAATTTTTGGGAGGGGAAGTACTGTGACAACCCAAACTAAATTTGATACCTCAAAGAAAATGGCCTAAATGGTCAGGGTTTTATTCTTCTCAAACACCTGGGGTTATTATTTTCTAGTATTCCTTCAGGACTTCTCTATAAAGAAAATTCATAACGTCACTTTCTTTCTTTTTTTTTTGAGCAAGATTAGCCCTGAGCTGACATCTGCCAATCCTCCTCTTTTTGCTGAGGAAGACTAGCCCTGAGCTAACATCTGTGCCCATCTTCCTCTGCTTTCTAGGTGGGATGCCTACCACAGCATGGCTTGCCAAGCGGTGCCATGTCCACACCCGGGATCTGAACCGGCAAACCCCAGGGTGCCAAAGAGGAACATGCACACTTAACCACTGCGCTACCAGGTAGCCCGATAATGTCACTTTCTATCACAGGTCTGGATGGACACTAAAGATTGTGTTTCTCCTTCCCTCCCACCCTCCCTTCCTTCCTTTCTACTCTCTTTCTCTGATATTTTTAGTGTTTATCAAGGTAATACATGTAAATACTTTAAAAAGTCATGTAGTTAAAAAAAAAAAAAAAATCAGGGGCCAGCCCCGTGGCTGAGTAGTTAAGTTCACGTGCTCCACTTTGGCAGCCCAGGGGTTCACCGGTTCAGATCCTGGGCGTGGACATGGCACCACTCATCAGGCCATATTGAGGCGGCATCCCACATGCCACAACTAGAAGGACCCACAACTAAAAAATATACAACTATATACTGGGGGGATTTGGGAAGAAAAAGCAGAAAAAGAAATCAGGTGGAACTAAAAGGTTCATAAGAAAATATATCATGGGGCCGACCTGGTGGTATAATGGTTAAGTTCGTGCACTCCACTATGGAGGCCTGGGGTTTGCAGGTTCGGATCCTGGGTGTGGACCTAGCACTGCTTGTCAAGCCACACTGAGGCAGCATCCCACATAAAGTAGAGGAAGATTGGCATAGATGTTAGTTCAGGGCCAATCTTCCTCACATATATAAAAAACATAGCAGGAGAGTATTTTTACACACACACACACATACACACACACAGAGTCTTGAAAAAAAATCCCCTCACAGACTCTTTTACTTGCTTGTTTTCTTCTCATATTTACCAACATTTTTCCAAATAAAATATTTATACTGCTAGTTCTTGATTTATAAATTTTAAACAGTACCTAATACAAAAGACAAAGATCCAAAACCTTATACTTTCCCTCCCTCCGGCCTCCCAATATTGTTATAGTGCAATATTTTAAATTCAATCAATGTTTCACGTTAACCTTATTATGACTCTATAAGTATGGTTTACTTTTGGATCAATTAGTTGTATTATAATTACATTTCCATTTTTTTTTTACAACTTTTTATTTTCTTGGAATTCATAATTGCCTTAGTTTTTTGTTTGCCAAATTTTCTACATCATTATCACTAATTCTTCCAGACTCCCCAGCAGAAATGTAAAAATGCCTAAACTACTTTCAACACAGTCAAACATGTCAGATACTCTATCAGTTTCACTGGAAACACTCCCCTGGAGCACTCCTTCCTTCAGCATGGACTGTCCCTCCTTAGGTCTGCTGTATAGTTGTCATGCTGGGATTTTCCTTTACCTCTTTCCTAGGTTGATGCCCTGTTTCCTAACACCTATACGTTTGTCTTTCTTGTTTCAGTAGAGTACATCCTCCAGTAGTATCCTAGGAAAAGCTGGGGTGGGGGTAGTAAATTTTTGATCCTTGCATGTCTGAAAATATCTTTAATTGACCCTTGCACTTAACTGATAACATGATTTAGTATAGAATTCTAGGCTGAAAATGATTTTCTCTCAGAAGTGTGAAAGCATTGTTTCATTGCCTTCTAGCCACCAGTGTTAATGTTGAGAAATATGCTACTCTTATTACCTACTCTTTTATAAGTAATCCATTTCCCTTTCCCTACTCCCTCATTACCTCCTATCATCAAGATTTTTCCATCTTCTCTTTATGCCTTGTGTTTAGAAATGTCATGATACATGCCACAGTGTTTTTGGTTTTTTCCCTTCATTATGCTAGGCACTTAGCAGGCTCTGTCAATCTGGAAAATCATGTCCTTCAGTTGTCAGAGATCTTCTCATAGTTTTTTTGATAATATCCTTCCCTCTATTTCTAAAACACCTATTGCCTATTATGTTGGGCCTTAGGGATTCATCTTTTTCTTTTCTCTCTTATTTTCCATTTCTGTCTATTTTCTGAGATATTTCCTCAATTTTATAGATTAATACTTCTGTGAATTATTTTTGTTATTATATTTTTAATTTCCCAGAGCTATTATTGTCTGATTGTTCCTTTTTTGGAGTATCTTGCCTTTGCTTTATGGATGTACTATTTTATATTCTCTCTCAGAAGATGCTTATTGTTTTTTTAAAAATATTCATCTGCTCTCTATATTGTCTCTCTTTCTTCTGAGATTTTTTTTTTCCATTTCTGTTTGATGCTGTCTTTCTTGGTGGAGGTTTATCTCAACTTTGCTGTCCCTTCATATTTAAGAGTGAGTCACTACAAAGGTATTTGGAAGCTCTGTGTTAACAGGAAGAATTTATCAGTTGGTGGGTTTCACTGCAGGATGGGGGACCTATTTGTTTTCCTGGGGGACCCTTAAGTATCAGTATCTATAGATCTTTTTTCTGGGGTTATTCAATTTTAAGTTTCCTCCAAAAATCAACTCTGTTATCCTGCCTGGAGAATACAAGCCTTGCTGTCAGCATTACTGGAGTGGAATAGAGCAAGAGGGCTGGGGAAGTTTCATCATTTAGCATGTGGAAAAACCATGGGTCTGAGAATTGCAGTACCTGTTTTCAAGTCCTGTTATTATCAGTCATTGGTTGGTTGATAGTAGGTAAGTTAAATTTTCCATCTGTTTCATCATCTGTAAAGTGATGATAGTCATCCCTATACAGTTTATCTTACTTGTAATGACCAATAAGATAATTGACATAAATGTACAAATATAAATCAAATATATATGATTTATTATTAGCTCGATTACAAATAGGCTTAGTCAAATATTCTTTGAGAGGCAGTGTAACAGAGTAGAGAGAGTATGGGCTTCAGAGTCACACAGATCTAGACTCAAATTCCATCTCTGTCATTCATTGTGTGATCCTAGGTAAATGACTTAAGCTCTCTGAACTTCATTTTTCCCACTTATTAAATGAGTATAATATTATTAACCTGACAAGGCTGTTGTGAGGATTAAATGAGATAATGCATGTAAAACATCTGCTATAGAGCCTGACATTTAGGTACTCAGCAGATGTTAATTCTTCCTCTTATCCCCCTAATTTGCAACCACCTTTCTCATGCTCAGATGAAAATTCTGAGCTTGTATTTCCTCAATTAGTGCTAAACCACATTAGTAATTAGCACCTTAGGTCATTGATAATCCTCATAAAGGCTGTTTATTTGCTGTTCTCCCAGGACAAAATTATAAGATGAGCAGCCCAAATTGAGAGTTCAGGATACATATCCTTTGAAGTTGTAACACGTTATTGCTGGGGCATCTTTAGGAATATTTTGTTATGAAATAAGATGCAAAACTTGTAATAAATATAAAAAGAGATCAGGGACACTGGAATACTGGGAAAACGACTACTCAAAAAATTATCTTAAGAGTTGTTGGGTTCTGTTTTGTTTTCTATTTGATCCGCACATAAACCCAGAAGCTGAGCAGGCTTTTAAAGATGAGGAAATCAAGGCACATGTGAAAAAGTGACTTCCACAGGATTCACTGGTCTTTGGGGAACAACCAAAAACTTCAACTTTCACTGTTTTTAAGTGTACAGTTCAGTTAAGTATACTCACAGTGTTGTGCAACCAATCTTCAGAACTCTTTTCATCTTGCAAAACTGAAACTCTGTACCCATTAAACAATAACTCCCCATTTTCCCTCTTCCCTCAGCCCCTAGCAACCACCATTCTACTTTCTGTTTCTATGAATCTGACTACTCTAGGCACCTCATATACATGGGATCGTACAGTATTTGTCGTTTTGGTTTATTTCACTTAGCACAAAGTCCTCATGATTCATCCAGGTTGTAGTGTTAGAATTTCCTTCCTGTTTAGGAAGGCTGAATAATATTCCATTGTATGTACATAACACATTTTGTTTATCCATTCATCTATTTTCGGACACTTGAGTTGCTTCCATCTCTTGGCCATTGTGAATAATGTTGCTATGAACATGAGTGTACAAACATCTCTTCAAGACTCTGCTTTCAAACCTTTTGGGTATATACCTAGAAGTGGAATTGCTGGATCATATAATAATTCTATTTTTAATTTTTTGAGGAACCACCACACTGTTTTGAGGAACAGCCATACATAGTGGTTTTACAACTTTTACATTCCCACCAACAGTGCACAAAGGTTCCAATTTCTCCACATCCTTGCGAACACCTGTCCTTCTCTGTTTTGTTTTGTTTTTTCTCCTAATAGCCATTCTAATGGGTGTGAGGTGGTATCTCGTTATGGTTTTCTTCAGAGTCTTCTGTAAAGATGAGAAAACAGTAAGTGACTCTAGGTAACATTACCAAAAATTTACAGCATTAAGATCTTACTAGATTTAAGACATTGTAGGAAGCAACAGTACACAAAATCCCTGTTCTCAAAGATTTTATAATCTAGCTGGAAAGAAAGGACATATGCATTTAAAAATAAATAACAATGCAAACTGGCATAGTCTAAACGATAAGTATTACATGAAGACAGAGAAAGGTAAAATTTTAGTAGGCTGGGCTGATTAGAAAAGGCTTTAAAGAGCAAGTGGTATCTCAAACATTTCAAAAGGGAGGATTTAAATTATCCAAGAGAAAAGAGGAGGTAATTTATTTTCTATTTCATTTACTAATTCATGAATCCTCTCAGCAAACATTTATTGTGCTCCTAATAAGTGCTAGACACTGCGCTGGGCGTTGAGGTTACAAAGTCTCTCAAGAGCAAGGGAGAAAGATGGGCAACGATTAGTGACAATCTAAGGTGCTGAGTGTGTACATGGTGCACTGAATTACTCCTTTCTAAGAGCCTGCTGATCTGTCAAGTAGACTGATGATACTTAAAGGGAGTACCTAAAGCAGATTTCTTTCCAGGGTTTGTTCACACTCAATTATTTCACGCAAAGTACAGCTGGGAAGTTTTCCTTTCTCCCTTGGTTCAAGAAGCCAAGTTAGTTATTAGCACTCCTACTTATCATCCCATATAGGTTTTCGTAGTCATGAACATGTGCTATCCAGTGCGGAAGCAAAGAAAGATAAGTAAGATACAGATCCTGCCCTCCAGGATCTCAAAGATAGCTACAATATGATATGATAAGGACTATAATAAAGACAGAAGACAAATAGAAAGAAAGAAATAGCTTTTTTCCCCCGAAGGAAATCATAGTCTTCTTTTAAAAAGTAACATCTAAGCTGGATCTTAAAGGATGGCAGGAGTTCATCAGCTGGGCAGAGGAGGAACGGACATTCCAGCCAGGCGAACAGCATGTTCAGGAAATATTAAGTAATTTAGTGTGGCTGGAACTTACAATACATGATGGAGAGTAGTAAGAAAGGTAGAGAGTAGAGTAGTGAAGAGAGCTGCAGAAGTAGACTGTGGATAACGATTATTCTGAAGGTAACAGAATTAACTGATTTTTAGTCAGGGAAGCAGCATTGGATTTCTTTTTTTAAAGGAAACTCTGCAGGCTAGATGGAGGATGAACTGGAGTTACAGAGAACCAAGAAGGAGACATCAGAGAAGGAAGTCAACTGGTTAACCAAATAGGATCTCACAGACCCTTGTGGTGGAACACCAGAGTTCAGGATCTCGTATATGGCCTGCAAGATCAGAAATCTAATTTTCCTAATGCCTCTAGCATGGAACAGATACTTAAGGATTGACTCACAATAATCAAATTCATAAGAGAATGTGGTACAAAGTATAATTCTAATTTACTAATACATATTCATTCATTCATCAATTATAAAGAACCTACTTTTGCTAAATAAGCATTGTTCTAGGTTCTAGGGACACGGCTGTGATTAGTAATTTCCTGCTCTCACAGAGTTACATTTTAATGTGAAATATATTTTTTCAGTGACTAAAGTATTTGTGTTTGCTGTCCAGAGCATTTTCTTGCCAGTGTAAAGGTACCAGGGAATCTAAGTTGATAATCAAAATATTGTTCAGTGAATGATCAAAAAAAAAGAGAACTGAATGGTTTTAAGATCCATTTCATTCAGGCCACAGGTAAAGCCTAAGAAATTATCTATGATCTAGAACAAGCGTACCTTCTAATGACTAGTTTGACAATGTTCTTTGGAATTATGATTTCTTTATCCTGAACATTGCTGGATGAAAAAAACATAGCCAAATCCTGGCAGATTCCTTTCTCTCTGGGTTCCAGGGGAACCATTTCAATTCTAACACATTCTTTCAGACATATTTGTAATACAATTGATTTTAATTATGTTAGCTTCAGTCATTTTTACCATATATAATTATAAAAGCTCCAACTTCAACTATATCACTGTAAGGAATTGTGTTAAAATTTTGGAAAATATTGGATTTTCATCCATTAATTCAACAAATATTTACCAAGTGCCTATGACAACCAGGCATTCTGCTAGGTGCTGGGAATATCCGAGTGAACAAGACAGATTTTCTACCTATCCTCAAGGAATTTATACACATTCTAATAGTGAAGTGAGATTATGAAAATCACAAGTGATCAACTGACCAATAAATTAAACAAATTGTTTTAAATGTTATGAAGGAAAGGGCAAAAGGAGAATGTTACAGTATCCAAGAAAGTGATGACAATCATCTGGACTAGGCTAGTGGCAGTGAAGAAAGAAGTGGCTGGATTTGAAATTTATTTTGGACATAGAATCAACAAGACTTGATAATGAATTGGATGAAGGTGAGGAGAAGGGAGGAATCAAGTTAATTCCTGGGTTTCTGACTTAAGCAACTGGGTAGAGAGCAGTGGCCTTAATTGAAATAAGGAAGACCTCCAGTAGGAAATACCCAGAGTTCTGTTTTAAACACAGTAACTTTTAGGTCTCTGTCAGAAAAGCAAATGTAGAGAAGTAGGCATTTGGATATGTGAGGCTGGAACTCAGAAGAGAGGTTTGGGTTGGAAATAGGGATTCGGAATCACTGACCTAATGATGGGATTTGGAGACAGGATTTTCATTACTATAGCCTGGTGAACTTGCTTAGAATTGGTGATTCCTAAATCTCCTCAGTGACACATTATCTCATAAGTCATTTCTATATATGACCAAATAATTAAGAATTCATTCCTACTAGTTTAGTTCTCAAAGATTAACTATATTCAAGACTCCTTTGGGGGAGCCTCACTATACCTTCTATCCACTACATCAACCCAAAGATAAATTTAAGTTCAGAGTTACTAGACGCTTTTCATTAATATCTCAGTGACTTTCCTCTTTTTCTCACCAAAGCTAACTCTTTTTTTTTTTTGAGGAAGATTAGCCCTGAGCTAACATTTGCTGGCAATCCTCCTCTTTTTGCTGAGGAAGACTGGCCCTGAGCTAACATCCGTGCCCATCTTCCTCTACTTTATATGTGGGACAGCTGCCAGAGCATGGCTTGCCAAGTGGTGCCATGTCCGCACCCGGAATCCGAACCAGCAAACCTCGGGCCACCAAAGCGGAACATGTGCACTTAACCGCTGTGCCCAAAGCTAACTCTTAAAGACCTCACGTAATGAGGTGTCCATAGATGAAAATGGTTGAATAGGTCTGGATTTCTATATGGATTAGAAACTCTGGCTTAATTATGTTTTCTGTAAGTTAAATATCACCTACATGGGTGTATGGGCTTATTTACCAAGTAGAAAGAGTACTGGACTAAGAATCATGAGATCTGAGTTCTAATTCAAGTATTGTCACTATTTAAGTTGGTTTAAGTCATAGCTTCTAAAGGTCTGCTAATATTATGGGTTAAGTGAAGAGACTATGGAATATTTTAAAGCCTATGAAAACATAAAATTTAGTATACAATTGAAGGATTATCATCATTAGCTTACTATTGAGCACCTGGAGATCTGGGGTGGTACTGAGCATCAAGAATGGCCCAGAGTAAAGATTCCAGTAGTCCGTTTCTGCATTTCTCATTATTTTTTGCAGACTCCATAACTTGGCTTCTGGATCTATAAAACAGGAAAATCACAATGCTTTTCCTCACTATGAGAAGAAAATTAATAAATGTCTGGATGTTTTGCAGAGATTTCTAGATGAAAGAGGTTAGAAAAATACAAGGGATTAATTGTGTTGATGCTCTTATTAGCTTAGTTTAAGCAGGACCTATCTCTTGGAAAACCTGGAAAAGCTTAGCTACCATTGCTTTTTGACTTTTGCCAGCTCTCCTGGAATCCTGGAATTTCCGTGGAAAACAAACTGCTACCTTGGAGGATGCCTGAAATCTCTGAGGAAAGTCTCTTGCAGGTAGCCAGTTCAGGGAGGTCACAGCTGATACCAAGCTGTGTATTTTGTAAAAAACAAATCTTTTTACAAAAGTGGTCAAGACTGTTTGCTACGCATATCAGCACTTCTCAGACAGGGAGTGGAGGTAAAATGAGGCCTCATTAAGACTTTGTGTGTCAGTGTACAAAGACAGATAGCAACTAGACTTTTGGTTGTGAACATGATGCAGTCTATACAGAAGTAGAAATATAATGATGTGCATCTGAAATTTATATGTTATAAACCAATGTGATCTCAATAAGAAAAATATGTTCTAGAAAGTGTTTCTGGTAAAAAAAAAAAAAAGGCTTTGTATGCCTTTGTTAGTGTGAACTAACTTTGTTAGTGTGAACTGAGTAACTTAAGGGTGATTTCCTACGAGCTCTTCTCCACCTCTATTACTTTTTTTTTTTCCCTTTGTTTTTCCCCACTTCACTTGTCTTTTGTTTGTCTCAGTCTTCGTTTTCCTAGTTTAACATGCTTTTCAAAAACTTAGGCCACAACTGTTTCCCTCTCTCCTTTTCAAGGCTTCCCCACTCAAAGTGATTTGGGGACTGTCATGCCCCAAATACTTGTTACCTCTCAGAGAGAGACCCAGGAGGAGATAAATGGTATACACTAGTGGCTCTCAAACAGGGGTGATTTGGTAACGTCTGGAGACATTACTAGTTGTCACAGGGGGAGGGTGCCGCCAGCATCTAATGGATAGAGGCCAGAGATGCCACTAAACACCCTACAATGCACAGAATAACTCCCAACAACAAAAAATTACCTGACCAAAAATGTCAATAGCGCTGCTGGTGAGAAACTTAGCTAAGCACAGGTATCAGCAGCTGAGTACTACTGAGGAAGCAGTGCAGCCTCCTTAGGGATGCAGATTTTGAAGGTGGTAAAGTGGCAGCCACCGGGATCAGATTCTCTGAACTTGGATCCCCAGGTTCTCTGTTTTTGCTGGCTGTATCATTTTGGACTAATCAATGCCATGAAAACACAATTTCCTCATCTGGAAAGAAAGGTTAAGGAAGTATCATTCTCACTAAGCTGTAAGCTCCTTGGAGGCAGGGACCTAATTTCACCTGCCATGCTTAGTTTAGGGACTAGTAACCAAGGGAGAGTACTAAATATTTGTGGATTGTCTCACACAGTTGTTTTGAGGCCTAAAGCAGAGAACATATATTAAGTGACATGAAGCACAGTGAGGAGAAAAGCAGTCCGATAGTGGGAGCTGGGCTGGCACTATCAGCTAGGATGTGCTGCCGTGTTGAATGTAAACAATTTCACAGAACACCAGGAGGGACCAAGACAAAAACAAAACCACTCCATAATCATGTCTGAATACAAACAAAAAAGAACACTGGCCCAATCACAAAAAAGACCAAATATCCCCCCCATCCTGGCTAACATGAGGGACTGTTGCTTCTTAACCAATCATAGCTTTAGCCTCTCTTGGTTCTTCTCCTTTTTAGATAAGAATTATTAAAATACCCCATCATAGAATTACCTCCAACTAACAGCATCCAATGCAGAGAGTAGGACTGATTCCTTGAACCCTCCCCCAAATCACCTAACACCAGCCCAAATCCTGTAAATTCTTTCCAGCACCCTCTTCCTGAGATGGCCCGCGCTTCCTCAAGGTGTGCCTTCCTCCCTTGCAAGGAGACTGACGCCCAACTTTGTTCAGCTACAGGGGTGTTCTTGGTGGTCTCTGGCTGGAGGACACTGACAATGTGGGGGCCCCTTAAAGGGAAGCAGCTGTTATTATGCCTCAAGGGAAACTGCACGATGCCCCCATCGCGTTCAAGCAGAGACTTCGTAAACGAGTATTTTGAGGCTTCCCGACAGATTGCCTCTTGCCAGGCCGTTTCTCTTCAGGGAACGTCTCTCCTCAGTCTACAGGGAAGAGGCTTTTGGTTTCTGACTTCCCAAGTTGAAATTCAGCATATTAGGTTAAATTTCTCATGAAGTACAACCCCTTAGTGAGGTGCGCGCCTCTAGCTCCAACGGTGAGTTCCTCAAACGCCAGAACACCCCAAAGGGGTAGGTAACGTGGAGATAGCGGCAGGGAAACAAAAGCCCCACGTCTTCATATTACTCTGTTACCTACCGCCCCAACCCAGGAGAAATGGCCCCGAATTCACTCCACACGCAGCGCAACACAGCGCAGACCCCCTACTCTGCGAAAAACTGAGGCAAGAGCGGCGACCAGCAAAACTGAACTTCCCCCGCCGGCTTCCTCAGACGTCGCGCACGCGCGCGGGTCGCTGGGCCGCCCCCGAGGGTTTGCCCGCCTCTTCTAGGCGGACTACAAGTCCCGGCTTGCAGGGCGCGGCGGCGTCGCCTGGTAACTCGCGCCAGACGGAGCACGCTCGGTCGGCTCCTCCGCGCGCCTGCGCCCTGACGGGAGCTGCGCAGGCGCATTTCCAACGCTCGAGAGGAGAGGGCGGGGTGTCGTTCCCTTTCGCTGATGCAAGAACCTAGTGCGGTGGTGGGAGAGCTGTTGGCAGGAGCCGCGCTGCCGCTGGGGCCTGGGGCTTACCCGTCCGACTTTCCGTCCTGCCGATCCCGCTCGAGCCGCAGCCATGTCCGGGGACGAGGTGAGGGCACGACCCTGGCGCTAGGGCTAAGAACTGAGGCGGGGAGCCGAACCCACCCCAGTTGGGAGACCGGGCCTGCGGCCTAGCGGCCGGCCGCCGCCATGTGGGGCAGCCGGGCCTAGGCAGCCCGGAGCGGGGGAGCCGGCGAGGACTCCGGAGCCGCGGGCTTGGCCGCACCCCACTCTCCTCAGGGCGGCGGCGCTGAGGCCGGCGTCCTCCCGTGGCCGGCGTTTCCGGAATGGAGAGCACGTTGAGCCGCCCTTCCAGAAGGGGGCCCGAATGACTGGTTAATGCTCCAACCCGACGAGACTGGGGCTGGCGACCCCTGCATTCCTTTAGATGTGACACCGCAGCTCCACCTCTCCTCGGCGGGCGCCGGGCTGCCCAGAGGAGCCTCCCTCGGCTCCGGTAGGGCGCCTTCGATAGAAACTTTGCAGGCTGGGGTGCCCTGGCTGATATCCCTCGTCGTTCTCATCTCGAGCGTTATTTCTTAAAAAGACCAAGGGGTGAGGGAAATAGGCGAGAGCAAAAGACCCTTCAGCCTCGAAAAGTGACTAACCTCGGAAAGTTTTCGGGCGGGAGTCCCTGAGGCTGCCTTAGCGCAGAGCTCGCGGCGACGCTGGCTGGATCTTTTTCCACCGTCGTACTCGAACCTCAGCAAATTTCCTCAAATCCCTTCTGACCAGATTTACCCCGCTTCATGTAAAACCAAACAGCTTAAAATGAAATTTGATTTTTAAGTGCTATCAGTAGGTATTGATTAACACGGACGGGGGGAGCTACCGCTTACCGGCCGGCTCTGCCCACCGGGAAAAAACTCTTGAATTCATAAGTCACATCTGTAAAAACTTCGAGTGCTTGGCCTGTAGGGCCTTGGAGAGATGGAAGAGGGAGAAATCGAGGCTTTGTCGAGCGTTGGCTTTTGAGGTAGGCCCTGAACGATGTTTAGAGTTTCCTCAAGTAGTGGAAAGGCCTGATCACAGGGCAAGGAAGTGTGCTCACAGAAAGTAGAATATTCTCCAATTTGATTAGAGTTAATCCCTTAAAACGTAGGTAGTGGCTAGTTCATGGAGGGATTGGAAGACCAAATTAAGGAATTTGGATTTTATTCTGGAGGAGACGCCAGCGTCTCAGTTGATGCTCACAACCACCTTGTAAGATAGGTATTAACATTATGCCCATTTTAAAGATGAGAAAAGTGAGGCTTAGAGAGTTGTATAATGCCCATGATCAAATAGGAAGTGGCTGAGCCAGTGGTAGAATTCCAGGTCCGTGGAATACTGCCTTCATCTGGGTGACTAAGAGGCTTGCTCTCTTAGGAGAGAAACTGAATCTGAAGGAGGTAGGTGGCTCTTGCTTGGAGGTCATGGAAGACATTGCTCTGGGCTACTGTAAAAAAGTTGTGAGAGTGGCTGTGTTGCATGCTTGTTTTGTTTCTACCCATTTTCTAAGCTTTTCATAACCTTTAACAAAGTACCTATGTAGTGCACGGTACTGTGGGGTGCTACTCTGCGTGGTTTCTATGGTAAAATGTTCACAAGTGTCGTGAGGGAGTAAGAAATCTACCACTAGTTGCTACAGGAGGTAGAGATAGAGCCATCTACATAGTGATTTGGGGAGCTGGAGGATTTGGTTTTAGCAGTTGGATCAGTTTTTGAAGGAAGTGGAATATGAAAGCATTACTGAAGGGTGAACAGGATTGTGTCAAGCAGGGATGGCAGAATCAACATGCCAGCAGAGGGCTTGGGAAGCCAATAAAGTATTAAGCAGCTTGGCATTTCTCAGGTCTACCAGTCTGACTTCATTTTATAGACAGGAAACTAGGGCCCAGGGAGGTTAACTTGCCCAAGATCACATAGCAAGTTAGTGGTACCAGAACTCCAGCCTTAGGCTTCCACCCTAGAGGTATGTACAGGTTCCAGTTCCTCTGGTGCTGTGGACTAGATAAGTATTCTTAGGCCACTCCTTAACTCCTGACTACTTTACACACTTGTAAGGATCAACATGGAAATGATTTGTTTTTTTCCAGGAAGATTAGCCCTGAGCTAACTACTGCCAATCCTTTTTGCTGAGGAAGACTGGCCCTGAGCTAACATCTGTGCCCATCTTCCTCTGCTTTATAACTGGAACACCTGCCACAGCATAGCTTTTGCCAAGCGGTGCCATGTCCACACCCAGGATCCGAACTGGCAAACCCCGGGCCGCCAAGAAGTGGAACATGCGAACTTAACCGCTGCGCCACAGGCCCAGCCCAATGGAAATTATTTAGAAACTGCCAGGGACTCCACAGAGTGGAAGTAGACATGTCTAGTGGACAGGATAGAGTTAAATAACCTACTGTTAAAAAATCTTTTTTTTTCATATTTCTTTGTTTTTTTTCTTTAAACAGCTTATTAATGTATAATTGACAAAAAGTAAACTGCACACATTTATTTTTAAATCTGGTAATTAAGCCAGAAACTCACCAAAACATAACCTCTTTTCACTTAGTGGAACCATGACCTTTAAAAACCAGTATTCTAAGGGCTGGCCTGGTGGCGTAAGTGGTTAAGTTTGCGTGTTCTGCTTCAACCGCCCAGGGTTTACAGGTTTGGATCCCAGGTGGGGACCCAGCACTGCTCCTCAAGTCACACTGTGGCAGCATCCCACATAAAATAGAGGAAGATTGGCACAGATGTTAGCTCAGTGACAATCTTCCTCACACACACACAGTATCCTAGAAATATGAGTGCCCCCTAGTAAGGAAAAACGCCCTAATCTGCAGGCATTTATTATTTTTTCAGACCACTTTTTAAAGTGCTGTCAGTAGCTAAGATTATTGCTTATTACTAGGCCCTATTTACAAGGTGTCTGAACATTGGGTTTTCATACAACGTGGTAAGGTGTTTTACAAAAGAATGTTTAAACTAAAAAAGTTTCTGATTAAAGATGGAATATGTGTTGTATGAAGTTTACAAAACACAGAAGAATACAAAGAGAAATAAAAATCTCCCAGACTCCTATCACCCAGAGATGACAACACTTAGCATTTGTCATGCTCACCTTGCTTCTCTGGGTTCCTTTTTAACTCACACCTGCCTTCTGGGTGTGGTGTGGCCATAAAGTTAGCGTCTTGGGTAAGGTTTGGTGGATGGAAGTAGGCCTCCAATTTGATGAAGCACTTAGGCTATAGGCAGGATGATTTTTGCTGGTATCCCTTTTCCTGACCTCCAACCCAACCCAACATGGGAACTTGAAAATGGAAAACTGCTTTTGAAGGCTTTGTTTTGGACTTAAAGAAAAAAAAAATAGCTCAAGAGATTCTGTGGTTTTTCCACAAGTGCACTGTCAGCAACTATTTGCTTCTCAAGTCCAAACTAGTCTCATAAACAGAACATTTGGAATGTGGTAATTTGTCAGATATGAAAGTCTTTAAAAAACACTTGTTTTTAGTCGAGACTGATATGGCCTTGTGGTTTGCAGGAGGTCTGCTTTGGGCATTGCTTTGGGATCCCTGGCTTCCTTATTTTTAAATGCTACTTTGCCGCGTGGTATGAATAAAATGAGGCAATGAGTATATGTCTTAAAGATCCAGAGACAGTAATTGAGAGAGTTGTTAATTATTTCAGTGTATAATTCCTGCATATTTATTATCCTTTACAAGGTTACAACCAAACTGTTTCCCTGGAGACCTAAATATGAATGTTTTTCAAAGGATAAGAAGCAATTGTGAGGTTGTCCTCTGATTTCAGGATCTCTCCCATCTTTGGTTTGTCTTGCTAAATGTTAGTTAAAAGATCATTAATATTCCAGGGAACTTGATATTGAAAAAAATACAATAAATGAATTGTAAGCCCTACGAGAAAACCAAACATAGTAACTGGAGTGCTGTCTGTCCTTTTGTCAAATCTCCATATTTCAGGAAGGAGGATGAACTGTAGATACCTCCCTGGAACAGATTGCAACACTCCATGTAGGATGACCCAAGGATCAGTAGGTCAGGAGTGGGGAACTCCTTTCTCCTGGCTCTTCTGTCCTCTTCAGTTTGCCAAATTATGTTCTTCAGACTGACTGCATTTCAGAATTATTCATTTATACAATTAAATTCTTGTTAAGGTAGGAGAGGATAACTTTGAAATGAGGCTATATCAATTTCCAGAATGTCTTGCAGATCCCTCTCTATTGGGTGAGACGATAACTACCGTACTTTGTTACGGACCGTGGTTTGGTTTCAGTGTAGCTCAGTTTCCATAATGTAGTTGGGACATAAAGAAATTTAAGTGAATTAGAATCAATTTAGGGAATTTTTTTGAGAGTTTCATGATATGTCTTAGAAATTGTCACTTCGAGTTGATGAAATTCTGTGATAGGAATCAAGAGATACCATGCTTTTGTGAACTGTGAAGTATTATATAAATTATGATAATTGCTAATGTTTATTGAGTATTTTTGTGCCAGGCACTGTGCCAAGTGTTTTATATTTATTTCCCCATTTAATTCTCCCAGTAACTTTGTGAGGTTTGGTTTTGGTTCTGCTACTGATCTCCATTTATGGAGAGGGGAAGAACTTATCTAGGGTAACACAAGTAAGACCCAGAGCTAGGATTTGAATTCAATCAGTTGAGCTCCAGACCTGTGCTTTTAAACACTTCACCACACTGTCATAGCAGATCATTGGGCAAAATGCTAAATTTAAGCGTGGTAGAATTTGGACAAAGAGTGCTAAAGGTCT